TTTTCGGATTCAGCATAGCGAATAGGCCCGGGTAAGCACGCAAAAGATTGCAATGTCCTCGAGTGCTTGTATCAGAGAAAAACAAGAGCAGATAGGAAATAGTTACATATCGTGCAAAAAATCAACTTAGAACAAGAAAGATACTACTGGATACTACCTTCAATGCTGAACGGATTAGAGAATCGATGACTGCAACGGAATGGGTACGGCTGTGCTTGAAATCATTGTATAATGATTTGTACTCCTAAAATTTTAGCCCTGGAAGAGGAAGATGCATTGGATCGAAAAGTAAACCTTGACGGCGTCTTCGAACTGCTTATGATAGTGATGGTAGGCAGCTCTATGGTATACTAGTTCCCTGAACAAAAAGAAAGACTATCGCATTCTGCAAATGGAAAACCTTCTTACCTTTTCTCATCATCTGTTCTATTCTTTGAACTTGATTGAGCAAGGAACCACCCTTTATCATGGATCTCAGCTGTATACTGTTCAGGAGTGCAGAACTGAACGCAGTCTTTGACGTCATCGTCATCAATAACAAATTCTCCAAATATATCAGATAGCATGATGGGTTTCTACAAAGAACTGTGATCTGCAATGACATAGTATTCAACTTTAAAAAAAATCCACTTACAAATAATCGCGACCGGGTAGCGTAAAATGGGGTGTTACGTCAATTCTTTTTGTATGACGATGTGACCTCTGGGCGGTTCTTCTGCATGCACTTCCTAAATGCTTCCACCTAAACAAATTTCCGCTACTTACAATGATAGAAAGACTGAATGTAAAGCTAACCTGGCTGCGGCACTGCCTCCAATCGCCAGTGTCTGCTTTACAATCTAGGATTGCGATATGTTCTTCCCAGCACCCAGTCGCTCTGAAAGGTATTATGATGAAGTAGATATACTCTATGTATAGACAATGCCAATGGGAGTGTCACAGCTCTAGCAGCTCGGGTCTTTGTGGCCACGTTGCTCAAACTTTCGCCACCCTTAGCGAATGTTGCTGAAGCCTGCGGACCCAACGAGCACGTTCTCAAACTTGACGCAAGGCCGTGGGGAAGCAAATACAGAAATCAGGGACTGTGACACTCTCATTGATACAGCCTATAGATAATCCGGCACATGCTATAGCAGAACATGTGCAAGATAAAAAAAATGCTGCAAACTACAGTATGTCTCAATTTTAGTGTCACTTCTGAATTGGCAAGTTGTCGCT